GGAATGGATTTTTTAAAAAGAATTTATCGGTGCTTGTGCTACAGAGTGAAATCCTTAAAGAAAATGATAATTTCATGTATTTTTTTATATTATATGAAATATATGGACGACTATTGACAAGTGAGCGATAGTCTTGTGGAAACGTTTTAAAAGAGAGATTCTGGTTTCAGGCAATCAATTCATTTCAGGTTGTTGTGAGAGCAATTATAAAGACATCAAGCACGTGTTTTTGAAACAATTTCCGTAAAATTGCATTGACATTGAGACACACAGCAAACCATTATGTGAGACCCTAGCAGCTCACTCCTTGACGATGAAAACAATGCCTTTGTAATTATTTAACCGCCCTATTAATGGGAAACACCTCTCGTGCAACCCTGTCGGAAGGAAAGAATAGGCGTACAGCTAATTTAAGGCCGTATAGCTTCTCAGTATTTTTTTTCCCAGAGAAACTGGTTGTCATAGGGTTGTACCTGCTAAAACTTGTGAAAAGGCCCTAATCATCTTGTTTTCGCTGGTGGGGCAAGTTAACTTTCGTCGTCTGTTCCGACGTTAGGTGTTGCCACGCTTCTTAGCGCATAAGAAACGTCCGGTAAGAAACTGGTGGCCTTATTTGACATAAATGAGTGGCTGCACTTATCAGCTTAATGCTGTTATTTATTCAGCCACCAGCGATAGTTACACATGAAACACCACTTCTAAATCGAAGTGAATGAAGATTTTATTCCCAAGTAACTTACATATTCTGTGTAAATATAACAGAAATAATCTATTGTAACATATGAATTGGAATAAAATTATTCTTTGTAGTAAGCTCCTCTCTTATTTTCGGGATAGCTCAATAGAACCACTTGTGCTGGTGCCACACTGCTTCCCGTTAAATCCCTCCTACTTCTGCGAATATCTTCAACCTGAAAGATCCAAACAGTTGGCACAGTACTTCATAAAGCTACCTGCCGATGGCCCTTGGTAAATGAACACACCTACACAGCTTTCATCCATATGGTGTTCATTAGAATATAACAGATGAGAACGCAATGTCGCTCTGTGATAAGAAAACCAGACTTTTATTATTTGCTTCTTGAAAAAGTCGTCACTCAAACGACAGCTTAGACATGTGTCTCTCTCAAGAATCTGGCACAAGATCGTTTACGCTTCAAAATTTGGCTTATCAAGCCTCGCCATAAATTTTTGTGGAGTGTTTCCTGAAAAAAGAATTGACATGTTGGCTTGTGCTACTTTTTAGGTGATTAATAATTTGATGGAACGAGAGGGTTTCTCTTGCTCGTGGTTAGCGTGTTAAAGTTTATCGTTGTGTCTGACAGGAGACTTCGCCTTGTTTCATGCACCTTTTAGCTTCCTTTGAAGTTTGGTTTATATTTTTTTTCACGCTAGTATTAATGGCTCTTACACTGTAGCACTATTTTACCACTCTTAAATGTTATTTGTAGAGGTGTTAATTTTCTTGAAAAACTTTTTGAATAAAAGACAAGGGTTTATAATCGTAATGCATAGAAAGCCACTTTTCCACCAAGACTAACTTTATTTGGTAAGCAGATGATAATTTGTATGCCTTCCTTTAACAAACTTGTGTGTCGAAGAGTTCTCATTCTCAGTACGAAATTATGATTTTTTAAAATAACACTTGTTAATCTAGATGGAATTTGAAATCAATGTCGAGCATATTGTAGCGTAAAATTATGTGCTTGTTTATCCTTTCAAGCGAATTAAACACTTGCATTGAGACCGAGGGACTGAATTATTTTTGACGTTTTTTCTTTCGACAATCATTTAATGATAAACACTTAATGGATTTTTTTATTTACATTTCGGTCAGCTGGAATTCGCTCGTGGCAAGTTTCTATCCTTGTAATAAAATATTAACATGTTTTTTGAGTTCGTGAATTTAGGATGAAGTATGTTTGTATCTTACGACAGATAAACTTTTCATTATTCTAGTGGTTTACTTAGGCTGATGAAAATCTTTCAAGTGAACCAATGTGAAGTACATGGTCCACTTAAGGAGAAATTATCTTGTGTTTACTTAGCGAATAAATATGAAAACGCTACTTATCTTGGACAAATTACATACCAATTAGTACTCAGCGGGTCTCTTGAGAACGCCTGGCGTCTCTGTTTGTAAAGTGATTCATTAATAAGCAATTTTACAAAAGGCAAACTAATTAAAAAACGCTTCTGTCGGTGCTTTTTGTGATTCGTTTCAGAACCACTTAAAAGAAACTGGAATAACTTCAAAATGCGAAGGCGGTCCTGAAAGATGTTCAAATTGAACTCCTTGAATTGCGAATACAATAGATGTAGTAACGACAATGTGGTGAAACTGATGCGTATTCAATTGCAAATAACGCTAAAACGGCATCGTTTAGACAAAGACACTGCCCTGTTTGCGCAATTTGTTCTCATTCGTAAGACCTAAATGAAACATAGCGGATTGTTTATGGCAAAATATGACGGCTCGAGACCCAACGGTTTCATAAAGTACCCCCTACTGTTCAGCAAATCAAAATCAATATATCAGTTTTGGCCTTTCAAGTCTCACGTCATCAAACAATTCCTTTTTTTTGGGGGGGTCAGACAATCCGTTTCTCACAATTAAAGAAGCCAAGTGATAGATTCTCTATTGTAACTTAAAGGATTTTAGAGAATGTCAGGTTTGTAAGCGCTTCTTACAGTTCACCATTTGGCCGAATAATAATGCGCATCACACGCTTCACTTAATCGCGGCAGCTTTTGATATTATTATCACTTTAGCCAGAATTATTTTCCAGTCTGTCTCCGTGATATTGTACCACGGTACTTATGTAAAGCTGTTTCTAAGAGGAGCTAATTGCTTTATACGTGTGCCAATTGAAAACATTAAGTGAAGGTAAGTTCTTTATTTATGAATTATTGCGATATGTGAATCTTGAGAAGTAAAATCAGACAGCAATGTGTCGCTTCAATTGTTGGAGGATTATATTTTAAAAAAGAGACAACAAGCTCATTTGTTTTGATTGCTTCTTTGGTCAGCATTGATTGTGATTTTCATGCTTCAGTAATGACTGGAAGTGTTTTTAAAAGAACCGATTATTCGACAAACGTGACTGACGACATGAAAAGGTTTAATTTTGAATAGACTCAGGAAGTTTCCACGACAAGAGGACAAAAAGGCACCGTGAATTTATAAGAGGTCGCCATAAATGTTCGACGGACCATAATCGTCTATTAAGGAGTTACAATAAAGGCGATCTTTTTCAGTCTTGAACCTGCATAGATGAGCTCGTCGCGAAATCCACAAACAAAGGTTTATTGTCTAAAGCTGTCACCTTCACAGTGTGACCCAAAGCGCAAAAGGCGAACTGGGAAAGTTGTTAGATCCTTGCTGTGGTGCTTTATTAAGGAAGCTTTAGCTTTCATATTTGAGGTCTTAAAGAAGCAAACGGAAAGTAAGGGTACTTCATCTTTATTTCGTATGTTTGTCAAATTTCCGCTAAATACCTGCTTTGACGTGCTACTTAACTAGCAGAAACAAAACAATAACTTTAAAAAAGGCGTTACTGGTTGTTTCAAGCGAGGAGGCCTTGCAAGTGATTTGTGACAACAATTCTATCGCGAACAAAAGAGTGAACGATAAAAGATGTTTCAAATGGATGAATAGTGATTTGGAGTATCCTCGTTAAAAAGGCTGTGGCGAGGCAGAAAATCTATCATTACTTAGCGCTGGGCTGCTTGTTTATTCAATTTGAGGTTTAAGTGTCGTGGTAGTAAAAGGATTGAATTGCAACTGCATTGGAAAAAATATGTCCTTCAAGATTTTCTTTTTTTATCTTCTTATTTATCATATTTTTTATAAAAAAAAGAAAACCGCTATGCTAGTTGCTTCTTTATGCAGGTGAATTTAATCATCTGAGAAAAGTTATCAATACAAGTGGCTTCGCTCTCGATTAACTTCATTTTCCTCACTTTGCAAGGCATTCATTGGGTTTTAATTCCCTCTTAGTTGGGTGGAGACACATAGTAATGGACTCAGGGTTAAAATCCTGTGAAGTCTTAATCTCAGCTCTAGTTTGGATGTGAGTAACTACTTTTTCTAGAATATCATGCCACCTCCTTAGAGCCCGTCGCCTTGTGCGTAACAGACAAGTATTACTTTGCTTATTACTGGCGATTTTTGTCGGCAGCGTTCATCATTCGTCGGCGATTCTTATCGCCTTAGCTCATTTTTGGAGCTAAGCTGATAGCCCCAATCTCAAGCGTAAGACCAGGATTTAAAATTTGCACACCTCAAAATACAAGCGAATAGAGGAATGTTATCCTTTTCAGTTCTTACTTCTTGTTTCAATCTCAGTTTCAATATCTTGTTTACAACTTGCCGATTTTTTTCCATACTTTTGAGGGTGGAATAGCTCCGTTTTATTGTGGATATTCGTGATAGGAGGAAGAAGTATCGATATTCCCGGCTACTTTTTATTGTGGTCGAATGGGTCACCTGTTTAAGTAACGCCTAGTGTCCAAGTGTCACCTTTACTTCCAGTCGGGAGCTATCTCTCTACCCTTAATGTCCAGTGTTCAATTTTATGAAAATTTAGTCATAGTAATGAGCTTACGAGACCGAGAAATAGAGATAGTTTTTCTGACAATTACAGTATTCAACCCTGTCCCGTGATAAGGTAAACTTTCTTGGATCTCTCATTTTACAATAACGGACACTAAGTCTGCATATGCCTAGTTTTAAGTTTTCCTACGGTGTTTCATGTATTACTTCTGTCGCGTTCCCAACTTTACTTATCATTGCACGTTAAGAAACGATTCTTTTTTACAAGTTTGAAGAAACACAACAGATTTCTTGTAATGTGACACTATTAGGATAATCCAACAATACAACAACGATGCTTTAAATTGTTGTACTCATCTACTATAAATAAGGCTCAAGAGATGAACTTGATATGAAAGAAAAAAAATAGGTGTTAAAAGGATTCAAAAAAAGTCGAGAAACAGGATAAAATTGTTTACGCTTTTTATAGGATTTGAATTTCACAAAAACATCATTTGTGCCTACAGACAAAGACTTCATGAAGTTTTAGTCGACAGGTTTGTTAATAATAGTTGATGGAACACTTCAAATCTTGCTACGATATTACCCGTCTTATGTCTCATTTATTTACCTTTTTTGTATCGCTATACTGAGAATTTTATTCTGGCTGGTTAGTTCTGAGGCAGTTGTCAAGAAAGCTATATTTTGTCATTGTCTTAATAACCTGTTGCATTGTTCACCATTTAGTGGCAAATAAATTACTCTTAATATTTCCCAGTGTGTTTCTTGAAGGCTTCTTTACCACAAAGTCTCGTGATTTGTCTCTCTCCCTCTGATTCTTGTTTGAGAAAGCGTTACTTTATGCGTGAACCTCTCCATTGACTTCCTAGAAGTGTTTATTCCTCGTCAGAAGCTTTGTTTAGCGACGCAGTAACACTGTCCATCTGTGTCCTCGGCTAAGTCAATGATTCAGATCTATTTCTTTTCTAGCAATCGACTTTTCTGCAAAAAAATCGCCTTTTAGCAAAATTTCTTTTCTCTTTTCCTAACTGTTTTGATTTTTGCGCCAAGTTTGCTACTTATTGTGAAGTGATATTGAACTAAGGGGTAGTCTCCATAACTGTTGACAAAGCGTGAACACATCTTGTAAATTATTTAACGTCAGAGTTGATAACAAAATACCTAGATCATTAATTGATAGTATCAACAGCTGTCAAACCTTCTTATGGTGAATGAGAACAAAACAAGTATGTGGACTGTGAAATTGCCAAAATGACTTCCCTGATGTTTTTAAAATGTTTTGTAACAAACACCTTTTGCGATTTTGATACGACTGTTTTCTGGAGGTTGATCGAATGTCAGTGTTCTCTAAGAAAGCAGGTGCTATTATGTCAATCACAAGGAAATGATTTTAAAATGAAGAAATTTAAAAAAAACTCATTTAATTTGAGACTTGAAAGTAAGGAGAGAATATTGTTAATAGCGGGGGACCTTTCTCCTATTTTTTCCATTCGTTTTTGAAGGCCAAAAATGTAGACGAGCGCATCAGCCACTACCACCAGCAACACGTGCTTCAAGAACGCATTACTCCTGTTTGCTTTTTCTGGACAAAACATAGAAGAAATGAAGTGGACCTGTTTCGTATGTCCATGTTCTATACTATGCTTTCCACATACACAGGAGTGTGGCTAACTTGATGATCACATCTTGCCGATGCTATTCACTTGGTATGCATTTTATGTTAAGTCGTATAGGCCGTGTCTACCATTGGTCTATACCTCTCTTTAATCTAAGGGAACAGGACTTTTAACCGGTTTACAACCCAGGAAAAAAACCCCCCTTAAAGAAGCTGTTGATGGAAAACTGTCTCAATTTCGACTCACATTCTAGAGTAGGAAACGTGAAAGGAACTGCTTGAAGAAATTGCAGCTGGATTTGCATTTATGTAAGATTGTAGCCCGAACGTATCCCTATAAAGCACGAAAAAGGGGAAGTTGTAGAGCGTCATCCTTCGTTTTAAGTTACAGAAACTTGCTTTTGTCTTCCTCCAATGCAACTAAGTACAGACAACGTGACCTGAACGTGAGATACAGAGAATCTGAAAACTAAGTTATTTTTCTTTTTGATCAACTAAACTGTCAGGTTTCTTGCTTACGTTATCCATATGTTTAAGAAATTGCATCTATAATTTCCCATAAGGATTCGATTGTGAACTACTGTTAAATAAATTCCAGCTGCAGTAAGGGGCTACAGCTCCGCGTGGATTGCTCCATACACACTCAAACACTCTTTGTGATGAAACGTTTCATGTTGTATCCTTTTCTTTGCTATTCTCGATTTGGTCCACTAAAAAAGGCACTGTGACTGATGAAATTGTAAAACACAGATTGAGACCGTATTTTTCCCGATTTGACAGATCACCGAGGTTGTAATTTAACTATGTTTTCTAAAAAATAAAAATTTCATCAATAGAGATTGTCTAATTATGACGTTGATCACGAATGGCTTTACCCACCATTATCAGCCACCTGTTTTACTTCTTCTGTCCACTTCAATCTGTCATGTGTTGGGGAGAACCTACTGTCCTCTGCGTATTTTTTTATTCTTGTACAGGCAAGATATACATTTGTTAAAGAGGTTTTGAGTAAAAATAGCCATAGGTTGAATTCGGTTTGAAGGCCAAATCACAATAGAAGTGTTTCGCAAGATTTCGAAATAAGAGCCCAGCACATGGCATAATTTTTACGCGGCAGTTGTCATACACAATGCTCACTCGTAACAGCTGATCGTCGCTTTCCATTTTAAATTCCTGTTCACGAGTCTCACTGGTTACGACACAACAATTTATAACACAGTAGGATATGACAGGGTCAAGCTGTGACTATCCAAAATAATAACCAACTAAAGCAAGGCACTGTTTAATTGATCCATTTCCAACACAATGCACAGAAAAAGAGCATGAGTATTTCAAATGGCCACGAGTGAACCCTTATCGCCTCAAAGGATTTCTGATATACGGTCAATTCTTCGTCAGTACTTTTTCAAAAGAGAGAGGAGAATACTACAGTCCTTTATTCTTTTTTATATCTGTGGCCTCTTTTTAATAAATTCCATGTGCTTCCTGGAGATTTTAATTTCAGCGTTTCCTCAGTCGTTTCCCAGTTCCAGCAAGCTGTACACAAACCGTTTCTCTGATTAGTCCGTCTAGCTCGGATCAATTGTTTTTTTGCCTATACTGCTAGTGTGATAATATTTCACATAGTTTTGTAGATTTACATCGGCTGCTAGGACGAAATAAACTAATTTTAAGCGCTGCTTTTTGTCTCCAGTTTTCTTCCAGTTTACGAATTTTCCCTCCCAACCATTGTAACGTATTACTTATCTTGGCGAAGGAGTAATTAAGGTAACTGCTGAACAGGGAGGGTAACTCAACGTTATCACTTCTGCCGACACAAGAATTTGCAAGTGCGGAGTTTGTCTTTGATATTTGCGTCTGTGCTGTACTTCGAATAATCCTGTCAATTTTGCCTTTCGTTACTTCCTGCCTGAAGTCTGTGAAGATAAGGACACTAAATTGTCAAGCTCGTGTTGTAACTCTTTGGCAGTTCGCAGGTATCATTAAGTCAGTGTTTTCGACTTTTCCTTTTCAATAATTGGCTGGTTACAGGTCAGGTATTCATAGAAACCCTTAGAGAACCTTTTATTAAATCTTTTCAATTGTCCCTCCCCTTCATGGTAACCAGCTCTCTATTTTGTTTTTTCATAAAAGCTTTAATACAACCACAAGCCAGGTTCCGCTTATTTCAGAGACGTCAAGTGAAGAAAAGTCTCGCTCTAAGCCAGAGTCAAATAATGTTGATATGATAACATGAAAACGATGTTATTCAAGCAAAAGATTACTTCTAGTGCCACGTGGAAATTATGATGCGAAGAAGAAGTCGCCTCAGGCTTTACTGAAAGTTGACCGGAAATTTTCAAAGATTTTATCCCTGTAAACCACCAGCACTAAGTCGAGAAATCTAGAACTGCAGGTTTTTTTCATGTGCAGCTGGTGATTTTCCACTTCGCAGGAAAACAAGAAATGTTTTTATTTCGAATTGTTATCTTCTCTAAGTTTTTCTTACGAACATGTCTAAATTATTCGCCAATTTGTTCTTTGGCATAACTATCATTGCACTCGAAGAATCCGTCGACTGTTGATGGCTTCTTCGATTCACTTGATTTTTTATACAACCTTTAGAAAGCTCGTCTTTTTTTTTTTTTTCATTTCAGCTTTTGTGCAGAATTATTCATAAGTATGTTTCAAGTATTCGTTTATTTCTATAACTTAGGAAAGGCAAACATTTTAGAGGATTTGCTTTCGAGTTGCCGTCAGTTTCAGTTCAGATTAATAGAGACAACTTAGCTTTATGCACCAAGGGCATGTAAACTGCATAGCCTTTTCACGGTGCAGTGAAGATTGAGAATGCACAATGGATCATAGGTGACAACTGAGATCTATTAACTTTGTTACCTGTCTCACTATTTTCGACTTTGGAGGTGGAATTAGTCAAGGTCAACACGAGTTGGATGCCCTTCGATTTCACGTTCACGCTTAAAGCAAATATGGTTTTTATTATTCCACGAAATGCTGGTCGGAATTCTCTATCAACCTTAAATTCCATTCGGTGGCTATTATGATGTTATCGCCTGATAATGCTTATAAACAGATTGAGCCGACAGACGTTGTCCTCAGTTTAAAGAGGCGCCGCAAGGGCAGCTTGGCCTCGTTGCTGATAAACACATTGGCCTTGATCGGAAGAATGAGATTAGATAGACATTTGCATAGCACTTAAGATTTATAAAGATCTAATTAGTTGTTGTGACAGCCAGAAGAGGATTATATTGTTTTTGAATGGCCTAAGAAATTTACGGAAAGGAATCTCGTCAAAATCCGTTGACTCTTCCAGATGATTTGTAGCGGTATTCTACAAATCCTACTTGTGGGAAAATAATTAAATTTCCAGGCTTATGACTAAATGTAAGTTTGTTTTAAAATTGTATTTTTAGCCACGTGCATATTTCCGGTGTAAGAGCTATGTTACATTATCTGTTTTGTTTTGGAAGTGGCCTTGACTTTGACTTCCGAGCGGATGCAAATTTCTGAGCTATTTTCCGGTCTTATGTCGTTTAGAGTTATGCTATAACATGACAGAAAAAGCAAAGGTTAGACGCTTATCTTAATCACAGCTTCCACTGAAATAGGTTAAATTCTTTGAGAGTGAAAAGCTTTAAAGAAGCACTACTCCTTTTCTATATCGAAATTGTTCCTTCTTCTAGATTTAAGGGTATTTAAAATTTAGTCGCCTTGCTGAAACAGATTTTAGTTTATGCAGGTGCTCTTAAACAGGGAAAGTTCTAACCTGTGACGGTACCCGTGAGGACAGCTGGCTGAAGAGGTCATACAATCTGTGGAACAATCAAGTTGTTTATTAAAGTTATAGGGGTATCATTGGTCACACGTTGATCAGTACTGCTATTTCCAAACAGTCTCTCGCCTGTACAACGACAAGCAGAGATCTTTAGGTTCTTAGACAAGAAAGGAAACAAGTGCAGAAGGCAAAATCTAGACAGACATTTACGATTTCTCGAAAACCGTTCTGTTAAAAACGTTTTTAACGCTCGAAAAGAACACCAATACGTGCCATCAAGATCCACCCTCTTCTTAAGTGCGGATTGGTACAAGACAATGAAACGATAATTCGATTTGAGATGTTTTGAATGGTCAATTTCATACCCAAAGAAAATCTGTAGAGATTAGTAATAGTAACGAAAAAGACTGCTAGTAAAAAAGGAGTTATGATCGCCCTTCTAGAAGGATCTTAATGATTTTTATTACGTACAACTTCTTTCACAGTGTAAACTGTAAGGGCTTTGATCCTTCCTGCAACAAAATCAAAGATCTGTCACTGTTTTAGTGAGCAAACATAGATTGATGCGCCACGCCCTATTCACGATGGAAAGATCGTTGATCACGGCAAACACTTTCCCACTCTCTTGTAATAACTGTAGAGAAGAATTCATCATTGCAATTGGTAATAAGATGAACTGACAGAACGACTAAAGTTGTGAAAGAATTTCAATAAGGTACACGTCGAACAAATCCAACGAGGATTAAAGAAATTACTAAATTAATTTTAGAAAATGAAAGTGCTTTTTTATTCAATGCGTGGGGACACCTTTGGTTTTTTGGCCGTAACATCGCCAATGAAGGACTGTTTTTTTTTTTTGCTTTGTTTTGCTTTGTTTTGTTTTTCTGTTACCTTGTCGTTTTAAGTTAGGACAGCTCATTATGAATTTACGTAGCGCGATTCTCCAGTAGCTTTTTTACTGCTCGATTTGAATTAGTTTTTCACTCACCCATGTCCTCTTTTTGAATACTCTTTGCTGTAGCGATTAAAGAGCTATGATCCGACTTATGCTATAAATATCAGTTTTTCCTCTCCAAATCGTGATGTATTAAGAGTGCTTGCTAAAATAGCTACCATAGGATAAGCTGGTGTGTGAGTCTTAATCCCTAAACAGGTTTAGGAGGGAAGATTATTCATCATCACTGCAAAAACGTCCCATTCTGCTACGACGGACTTACCTAGTCGGGTGGTGTCGGCTGTATTTTCTGTCAACTTGTCAGCTGCCCTTCCCTTTTCGTACAGCTATGTTAGCTAGTTAACGTTTAATGAAAAGGTTAAATTGAAAAAAATTGTTGATACCAGTGTCATTCTTTCTCCCCACAACCCCTAAATTAGAAAGAATCTTTTCAGTTATTCAAAGTTGCATGGTAACAGCAATAAGCCACCCCCCTCCCTTGCTCTTGAACTGAACAACGTTACCATACTGTAAATACACAATCACTTTCATTATCGTAGAAGGTAATCGCTTACAAATCCTTCAGTTTTTTATTGCCCTCGTAGGTATTGTATTTTCTCTCAACCAACAATGAAATGGACAGGTGCATACATCTAACTAACTTGGCAATCGATGAGTACATCAACGTTACCTGCAAACAGTATTTATTACTCAATAATGTCACGAGTGTGACATTAAAGTGTATACGTACATTGGAATTCTTTTGACAAAGGCCAGTGTCAGCTGCCTAGAGGTGAACACGCCGCATCACAGTGTGTGATCTATGAAAATTAATGAATGTTCGATTCTATAGTTAACTCTCAATTTTGAACACTGACACAGGTGTGGTTGACACTGTTTTTGTCATTGTTTCAAAATGATGGACGAGTGTTATTTGATGGGGTTAAAAGTTGATGTAAGTTTATGTTACGATTTAATGTCTTTGTTCCATGAGGAAGCTATATCTTTAAGGAATCGTTCTGCGAATTTAATCAACTAGTTTATGACGGCAATAATCTTAGTGCAAGTGGTTGCTTAGGAAACTTTGTAATGTCTTGACCCCTGTGGCGAGAAAATGTAAACTGATGTTTTTCTAACAGCTGCTACCATGTTCATTCAGTAGGCTCATTGTTGTTCATCGTAAGGCGCGCGAAGGAATTTGATTCGCTAGTATAGATTCAGTCACATGTCGATGTCCGCTTTACCCTTTGATTTTCGTCGAAAAGAGTACAGGCAGATATTCTATCTTTGTGACGACGGGGTAACGCTTTGATAAGTATTTCCTAAAATTCCTCTGAAGTGGCGCGCGTACATATTTGGCACCTCTAAAACTGATAATCTGTGGCATGATTAGAGATGGAAAGTACTTCAGTAAACCTGAATGCTGATCCATTTGAGTTATGCATATCAAGTACACCCAGCGAAAATTAGAGGACGGAGAGGGAGGCTTCTGACCGTTAAGTGGGATGTGCCGTCAATTCGTCTTCGCATTTTGAAAGTTGTATAATCTGAATACTGAAAACTTAAGTTAGAGAGTGGTACCGTATGGATTTCAAATAATCGCGCGGTGTTTTGTTAAAGTTCGAGTAGTTGGTATTGGCCGTGAGCAAATTTTTTTCAAATGAAGTATTGGTTGGAGTTAAATGGATGGTTTCCAATAGAGTTAAGAGAGTTTATAAAGGAGGAACTGAACAAGATATATCTCGAGACCCACGCGACCCATCCGTTTTCGATAGAAAATGAGGCACAAAAAGAAGCAGAAACAAAAAGGGTTGGATGCATTGTGTAATTGTCATGAAATCTTTATTACTGAATACCTTCTGGATGTATTTTTAAGTACTAAATAATTTTTTCAGCGTGTTTACATTTCGTGCGAGAATGATACGTGAGTTATTGTATTTCCTAGGGGACCTTATTTCCCTTGAACAATGTTGACTTACGCTGAATCAGGATTTGTTAATATGTGGAACACCCAGTCCTTTAGTAATGCCAATCTTGCGTACACGCCATAATAATTTGGCTTTGCACAACTGTATCCCCAGCTGGTATCTCCCATCAGATACCACTTTCCGTTATCTTCACACACCAAGGGTCCCCCAGAATCGCCCTGACAAGCATCTATCCCTCCTTCCGGAAATCCTGCACATAGCATCTCACGCGTGATTTTGCTGGCTTCATACGAACCATTTTTAGTGCATTCCTTGTTCGAAACCAACGGAACTTTTGCCTCTTGTAGTTCATCGGGTGATGCCCCTCCTGGTTGAAGTGTTCCCCACCCTGTTATCCAGCAGTCGGCTCCTGGTGAAAATTCAATGTTGTCATCAGGAAGGCACACAAGACCCACACCGTTCATAAGTATTGCAGGACGATCCAAATGAATAAGAGCGACATCGTAGTTGTAATTTGTTACGCTGTTGTACTCGTGATGGAAATAGATCTTTTTGATGCCAAAGTCTTGTTCCGAACCGATCAACAGTGAAGTATTTTTGTAATGTGCACCCAACCTACATCGGTCATGGAACGAACATATATTTAGAGACGTTAAATGTAGGGCGACTATGGACTACGGAGGAACGAAAACTTCGACCGAGATGAGTGACATGCATGTGAGCAGAGCGTAGTCGGCGAATTTCTCATACTTTATTGAGGGAAGGTACGGAGTTGTACCTGATGTTTGAACAAGAGAAAGGTTTGGGTCAGAACATTGACTAAGGGGTTGCTTTTCTACATCATGTTAACGATATCACCATATTCAGAGCAACTTGAAGCGCTTTTGAACATGAGAAATGCAAGCATTGTTTATGGATAACTCAGGGTTACTGATTTTGACCTCCACATACGCAGCAAGATATATGATTTTCTCCTCGCCCAAACCAGGTGCATCTTCCGTGTTCATTCCGAACAGGCGAGACCAAAACCATTGTACTCTCCTTCAAACCAAATTACAAATTCTATTTTTCTGTATATATTTTGGGCCCACCAAAAAAATAGAACGAATGTATATTGAACATTCTCACAATGTGAAAAAAGAAAACCAGAGCAAGCTTCTTTTGTAGTTACTTCGCGCTCTTTTCGTTCTCTGTGGTAGATATTCTATGATTTCACTCGTTCTGTACTCAGCCCTGTGCGAAAGAATAAGAGGGCTTGCGTCCATCGGTAGCCCTCAGTCACCATATCCTTAAGTCCCTATTAATCCAGGATTGAAAAGTATTTTTTGCGGTCGCTTGGTTCTCCCCAAGAACGCTTCTTTCACGTAACAGGGCTGATCAGATTTTTATAAGCCCTGAAGCAATTTGCTTCGTTTTGCATGTGATCAACATACCTGACCATGTGAGTTGAATAATCATCTCCTCTGATACTATTGACACAATGGGCAGCAGTCAAAACCCAATCGTGCAGCACCAGTGATCCTCCACAGAACTGCTTCCATTCGCCGGTGTCTTTTTGATACATGAGCATTGCTTGCCATGGCCAGGAGTTTGGTGTGGCTATAGCGCCTCCGACTATGCGCGTATGCGGTTTAACACCACAAAACGGTACAACTGGGAAAAAAATAAAATGCACTTAAAAATATTTCTTTCCTCCAGTGACCATAAGAAAAATTCTTCTTGTGAAAGTGCGTCCTCCCGTTTTCAACAATTCAAAGTTCTAAGAGGTTTTAACCAATAAAAATGTAATGGATCTACTTTACCTGTTGTGCTAAAAACCAGGAAGAACTCAAAATTGATATCCAAGACTGCAATATTTCAGAATTCTAAGACATTTCAGCCAATAGCAATGTAATGTAAATTGATTGGTTTGGATCTAATTTACCTGTTGTGCTAAAACCAGGGAGAATTAGCATCCCAAGGCTATCATTGTTAGTAACCACTTCCGCTCCAAGTAACCTTCAAGACAGCCAACAGTTCAGTGAACTTAGCTTGTCAGTCTCATTTTATCTCTTGTCCCATGGTTATCATTCTACTATTTTTGATTACGTCAGTATCATAACAATAACTTACATGGTGGGGTAGGGACAGGCGTCGGTTGAGGAGGCTGCGGTTGCGCTGAAGGGGGGTTTATGTCGCATTTATTCGTGTGTTCGACCATGATATCATCAATGGCAATGTCACCCATGTATCCAGTGCCAACGATGCCTTCAAACACAATCTGCGCGTTGAACAGTAAGTTAAACTCAGTTGGTAGTTACACATAAAGTTAGATATCATCAATGATTTGCTCCTACATGCAAATTGATATCCATTTGATTTAGAAGACCTCTAACCAGAGATTGAGACTGGTTTTATTGCTGCTTTCGTGTTGAGCGGTGTCTTGTGATGTCACTTTGGAATTTAATTGTGGTTTTTGAGATGGATTCAGGTTAACGGAAATGAGATTTCTGAAATTAAATTGCAAGAGTTCCGACGTTAAAGTTCTAGACGTTTCGTTTTCGAACACTTAATCTCATTTGGACACTAATCGGATCGCAATGTTGCATTCCTTGCTGATACAGAGACAAAGTAAATTTACGCCTGCAAAACACGACGGAGACAACATCAATGAAATTTTAGTTTCACTGCAACCTCCAGGTTCAGTCACAGCAGCGTAAAAATTGTAAAAAGTCTATCATATCTAAGATTTTCCTCCATTAAGATAGGTAATGGTTAAGTGTTCTATCTGTTATGCAAATAGATAGGTCATGAATAAGAGAGATGGCATTGTTAAAGAAACTTTTACGCAAAAGGGTTATCCTGTAATGAAAGTACTCTACACACTTACAAAGTTCTTTTAACTATTTCATCTGTCATAAGAGTTTTTTGTGCATGTAATGAATTTAACTTGTAATTTCTTAAGCTCTTTTCCTATCATGAACTAAATTTACCTTAAAGGTGAGATCTTTTGGTATGCTTAATGGTATTGCAGCATTGTGCCACGCCTCTCCATGGTCCCCATTTAAGCGCCACAAAGGATGTCTGGAACCACTAATGGACTGGGTATATACTGATAGTTCGCGAATATTGAGACCAAACATATGAAAGTAGAAACTAAGACAGTTTCCATCCGTAGCAGATATTTGAGGACTAACCAAATGGGCTGCCTCTCGGTTTAGACGTGGGCTGGATGTCTCGATGTACATGTAAGAACCTGTTCTCGCATAATTAAATGTTATGATTACATTTTTTACAATTGCATTGGACTGGGTTTATCAACAACATCTTAGATGCAAAGCCGCGGCTCGAGTGAGCTTGTGTGATCTTATTTATGTATCGCTTTTATTAGTCGATGACCAAGTTGACAGTAAGTTGCTCGGTCTAGGCCGTATTGGGTAAACGATGATTTTGCGACGACAACAACAACAACAACAATAATAATAATAATAATGAAAATAAAAGTAATGACGATAATAGCTATATGATAATAATAATAATAATGATAGTTACAATAATAAGGATATTAATAATGGTGACAGTAATAGTAATAATAATAATGACGAGCTGATTGATTTAATTTCGATATATTAAGCTGAATTAATGGAGTTTTGATGAGGGTACTCGTAATCAGAGTAAGATAAAAGAGGACTAACTTTGTTTCTTACCCAAAATTAGAAATAATCAAAATTGAAAATTACATGTTAAACATGACCTTTTTTAAATACGCATTTAATTTATTTTTAAATCCTAAATTTAAAATCATATAAAGTTACATTCAACCTTTTATTTTCATACTCGTGTGTTGGTTGTCGAATAAGGGCTGGGGGCTGGTCTGTATGACCGATGCATAAATGGGGCCAAAAGTAAGGGTTGCCTACGCAACACTTGCTGTTCAACGTATGTTTGTTGTAATGCCTGACCTGATCCAGTTGTGTGGTCGCCTAATGGTCCAGTGTTGAAGCTTGTAGTGACTCCTGTGTTGTTAGTCCATTCGAAATCAGAGTTTTGATCGTGAGTATATCCACATAGACCATTCTCAAAGTCGCAGGTACCTGGTGCTTGGATCAAACGCCAAAGTAATAAAAAGAGTGCTACTAAAATTAAGTATTGTAGCCAGGTATCAAGACCTCTTTCGATCAGAAGTATAAGCCTGACTCGCTGTCTAACAAATTCGGTTGCTCTATAGTTTGGTATTACTATCAAGGATCAACGAAACATCTTATTGTGATGGAGTCATAAGAGATCGTTACTAGAAAATCGGATTTGTTGACGGGGCCAAAAAGGAATTTGAGAAGATGCCATTTTCCTAAATGCCCAGACTCGTGGTTAACTATCAGATCAGGTCAGGCTCTGGCCTCTAAGCCACTGAGCACGAAGGCTATTACTCCCTCCATGGCAAATATTGGTCAGGTGAAGGACTGAGTTCTAAAGGAATCGAAAGGAGCCTACCTGCGTTTGCAGTGCAAACGGCTGCCACTTTTAGAAGAAGGCAAACAGAAAACCACATCGAAGCCATTGCGCTGCTCTTGGAAGTCGCAAAAAAATTAGGTGTGATCGTTTTTATATGGCTTAGTGTATAATCACCTGCAGTGTGAGTGACGATGAAATAGCTTTCGTTTATTTTTTACAACAATATAAGAAATGATACCAAGCTCGCCTGATTAAATTCCTTTGTCAATAATGATAACACTGATCATTATGCTTTTTCTTTTACGACACAATAATTGTTTTTACGTGTGCTTTTATTGTTCACCACCTGGAGAAAATTCAACAGGACACAGGGGGTGAATGAATAGGGTAAGTTTCTAAACAAACTGCGGTGCTGCGTTGGTGGGGGAGTAAAACAAGATAATTCAGTTTTATCAACTAAAATGACATGGTAATTCAGCCTCCATGAAGAGTTTATAAAGCTAACACTTCGAGCGTTAGCCTTTCGTCAGACGCTAACCCTTCGCTCTGACGAAGCCTTAGAAACTCTTTATGGTGGCCAAGTTTCATTATCAACTCCGCTAATTTTAAAAAAATTATCTTCAAACAGAGGTGAAAACTGGTTTTTAACAACATGAAGCCGGAATTTTTAACTTCATGAAAAGCAAGAGATTACAATAATCTCTTGTGAAAAGGCATTTCTACAGCACTCTCCAAACTATTGGTGATCTTCCAACTGTCGATTTTCTTGTTTCCTTGGTTTTCGGAAAAGGGGGAAATTCCAGCTAAAGAATTGGCTCACGCACCAAACAACTGAACAAGCTCCACAGTCCAGAATACACAAAGAAACGAGCAAATAACAAGTGATGCAATACCCCTTACTGTTGTACTAACCTACGCAGTTCTTTTTATCCATATAGAACGATCGGTGTTTAGCTCCCCTTATTTGCTTTGTAAAGGTAAATAAAATGTGGGAAAACATTGTAAAAATGGAAATAAAACAACTGTTTTGAAAACGTATTCATTGGAAGTGGTACATTAAAAGAGACGGAATAAAAGCTAATAATGAATAACAACAAAATCTAGAAACAAAAAAATAATAGAGTAGAGCACGCCAATGTAAGCTTCATGAGGTTTTTTCTCTTATTAATGAGAAGCCACTGAGAGGCTAATCTTAATTAAACTTTTAACATCCTTAGCTTAAGTTCTTGGCTTGCAATTGACAGAATGTAAAGAGTTATAAGTAATAACATCATGCTAATGATTAAACTCGATACCACAAAAGATCTTTGTTAGAAATACGCATAATGAGTCCTAAAAATAAGTTATTTTGCTATCAGATTCTGTATAAATTGGGCGGTCTTCGTGTATCTTTCGTCAGTCTTGCTGCTGGGTTTGCATATATCAACGTGGTCCACATCAAGTGGTAAAAATTCGCCGACACCTAAATCTATAAAAGAAAATAACATGACTGAAGAGCAACTCGATAATTTATCAAGAAAAATGCTCGAACAGTTTCAAATATACTCATGGATGTCACAGGTTTGATACTACCGCACACGTGAAATTTAAGGTCGTGGGCCCTTTAATCCACACCACATAGAATAGCTCCGCGTCTTTTTTTTTTTCTTTATTCCGGACGTTTGATCACTGAAGTTGGGCCTCTTTAGGCAAATTTACAAATGTCACAAATTTCACACATACTGCACTGTGTTATGCTTCCAACCCTTCAAGGGAAATTGAAATGGCTCCAATTGTTTTGGAATTCAAGTTATCGACAAATGCCGGAAATAAGGCGAAAATTGTGACTAATGCGTTTCTAGTCATACTTTACATTTTGAGCAAATTTTAAGACAGAATAGAGAATTGCGAACCTTACAGGATCCACGATAAATAAATGTTTCCAAAACTAAAGGAACGTGAAATGGACTCAAAGTCGTAAATTTTACACAACAGCGAAAAAAGGGAAAAATGCAAAACATCAACAAAAGACAAAGACAAAAAAAAAAAAGCATGCTGCTGTTTCAGAAAGGGGTCAATGTCCTGAGCTATAGTGGAGTTTGTTTAACCTCATTACGAACTGACAAACATGGTCCGAGTAAAATTATACAAAAATTGAGCCGACGGGCAACGAAAATTGCTTCGAGTTAGTTGCTCTGTGGGCCAAATTACAGAAAATGGCTGAAATCTAGAAGAGAGAGGTTTTGTTCGGGTTAGCGAAGGTTCACGTTTCGAAGGACCTGAGTTATGAAGGTTTGACTGGTTGGATACAAAACTCAAAACTTGACCGGTTACCAACCTGCAGAGTCATTAGTAACAAGTATTGTTTGTAACATCCATGACAGCTTCACTGGCATAGTCTCTCCAAAGCTTAGTAACTTGACTGGATGTCGCTGGACCAAGGAGAGAAAATTTTCATGAAGAGTGGCCAAAAATGGTGATTCTAATTTGGAGAAAAAAGAGGTTCCTAACATAAAAAATTGTTCAAAATCCACCTTACTAAGCTTTTATTTAAGATACCGTTCTAGACTGAACCACTCAGAATAAGCAATCTGCCACTTACTCTGGCATAGCTCTTTTACTTCAACTGAGGGAAGGAGAAGATGGCTGGCCTGGGTTGAGTATGATGCCAAAGCAGAACCAAGATGAGGAGTGCTGTAAAACACGATTCCCTTTGTGTTGTCGCACATGCTCCTATAAATGAATAAAGAAACAAGAAATAAGTACAGCAACTTTATCTTCGTGCATTATTCTAAAGGAAGAAAGGCTTTGTGGAATCATTTCCACCCCACCGAAATTCGTCGTCTTTCTCCGCATCCAACAAAAGTTGCTTCACAAGTAGCCCTAGAGGACAAGGAAAAACCAAATTTTGGTGTAAGTAAATCGTGTATTGTTAAATCCGCCCATCAAGGCCAATATTCACTCCTTACTGTGTTTGTACGTTTGTCCGTCTATTCCTCAGTGTATTAGCTCGTTTTCCTGTGTAAACGGAACAACTTACCTCCCATTGAATGAACAATCCATATAACTGGTCTCTTGCCGACTCCTGCCTTGCGCAGCTTCCTTCTTATCTCTTCACTTCGATACAACAAGGACTGACTGGAAGAGAGCGAATTGTGGAACAATCAATAAATATACCTCAGGGGTCTATTATTAATTTTGGCGCAACCGATCTGTGAGAATTTCGATTCTGCTAGTGCATACATGGAAATTTTAATCAAACTACAACAACCAGCAGATCAATATCCACAGAGTTGTTTGAGAAAAAAAATTATTCTCCAATAAACGAGAAATTAATTTTCACAATTATCAAAGAAACCCTCAGCCGCATAACAGAAAAGCTGTAAAGAAGATTTCACATGTTATACTTACGTTTCAGGTTTCTGGGGACATTGGGCCACCCAATGCGACAGTGACGTATCATATTCAAGCATAAGAACCCGTATGCTGGGAATGTCCCCAACCAACCAGGACTAAAATGTTGGAGAAAAATCGTTTATTTGATATTAATATCACCTATTGTCAAATCTTTAGGCATCAAACCACAAGAGAACAACAATCTGGAACGAAAAATCTTCTAAAATCGTTTATTCAGTTGCAGTCATTCATAGCGGTGAAAGGTAATAAACATAATTTACCCGCCAAGGACGTTTCTTGGGCTTACGATGAAACTCAGTGCAATAGATTGCTACATTTCTAGTATCGCAAGGACCGATGGACCCCGTACTGACTACATGCACAACGAATTTAGACCCCAAGGACTAGGAACCCGTACGACTGTGTTTCTAGAGTCCTTTCCCAAAGCACACCGGACTCGAAAGAATTCAGTGGTGTTATAATTCTCTTTATTTATTCTCTTTGGACCTCGTGCATACTTTAGGACATCGGGCAGATAACCTCAGAGCTCTTGCAGTTGTCGCTCGTCCTACTTTCGAAGTGAATCGCGAAACTTTCAATGCATACTTCAAGCCTTATTTAGAAAACCAACAAATCTGCTCTTTCCATTAATATTATTCATAATTATTAACATGACCGATTCATATTCAGGGCGATCCAAATGCTTTATACCAGTGCCAGCTGTCAATACTTTTGAAACTCAAACAATAAAAATACCCGGCAGGGATTGAAACAGAATCGACTGGATTTTGGGCGGAGACCCGCATCTTTGGAATTCCGAATAGTATTCCAAATTCTAAATGTGCGGGCCTTCGCGTGACCGAATTATGCATGGTCTCAGGCTCGTTAAGTTACCGGACTTTTGAGAAACAAGGCCCAGATATGGAAACGAGTAGAAGGCATTCAAAATGGTCTAAAATGGGAACAGGATTAGCGAGAACGGATGGCATAACTCTACCAAAAATGGAGAGGAGCACCCCACCCCAGCCACCTCCCCCAAAAAGTTTGTCTATGGTAGACAGCCAAAGTTTTTCAACAGTCTCAGACTAAGGCATGATTGTCGGCCCAATTGACTGCTAATGTTTGAATTTCCCAAGATAGCATCCAACACCAATATTGAACCCTGCACATAGAGCGACACCTTCCAATGCCTACTCCGACTGGGAAAGAGCTGTATTTGCGCATATTCCTCACATACCTTAGGCCAGCAGTCCGTACCAGAATTCTTGACACCTTTTTCTTCTTGTTGTCGCCAGGTCATGAAAGGACCACCGCGGAGGCCATGAACGAATACCACGTCGGCATCGATACTGGAACTACTTGAAGAGATTAAGAAAAGAGGAAGAATGATCGTTTCCTTGAACGAAGGCCAGTCGTTGTGTCTGCAGTTAGAAAAGCGCCCACACTCCTTCATTACGTATTTAATTCGCACGACAATAAGACTGCTTTAGAGATATTTATCATTGTAAGGTTTTTTTTACATCATATTTAGAACTTCAAAATCAGCTTGACAGAAATTGCACTATGTGTTAATGGAATAGATCTATCAAAATGTAACTCCTGGGGACATTTTTGAGGTAGGGGCACCCATGTACTCTGCAGCTTCATGTGCATGAAGACGAGATGGTAACTTGGGTATTGTACTCACGAGTGCCGTCCCTGAGGATGAAGCAAGTAAACTCCGTCCTCGTAAGTC